CCTGCAGCCAGGGCTTGGGGGGCATAAAGGTGACAGACAGATGCATTAGACAAGCATGGAGGTGGCGCACTTGGCATTACCTGTAACCACAGTGCCCCTCCCCCCCTGAAACATCACCCCTATCCATTTTCAAAACACATCTTTAGCCTTTTTTTTTTTTAACCCCAGCACTAATCTCAGACTGCTAGAAACTGCAGACACACCCCCATTCAAAAACACCTTATAACCTCCAAGCATATCCATTCATCCCTGCTTTCCATCCATCCATCCTCTAACTACTTTTCCTCATCAAGCAGAGGCACAAGGCAGGGGTACATCCCAGGGCTTATACATACACACAATCAGACAAATTAGCAGTGTCAATATGCCTAATTGCATGTGTTTGACTGCAGGAGCAAACCACAGCAGCTGCAGGAATCCCAGATGACTCGGGGAGAACATGCAAACTGCACAGGTGTGAATCGAACCCTCAACCCCAGAGGTATGAGGTAACACCTCTACCCAGCATACAACGCCATTATAAAGTTTTCCTCCTGTGTTTTTTTATGCTAAAATTGATACTGAAGATACACATGAGATTTAGCCTGATAAACGGATCAGAACCCTAAGCGAAAGCAGCGGGTCTACAGATCTGCCTTGGCATGCTGTCCAAACGGCCCGGAACGCAGTGTGCAGATAAAGGACGGGCACACCCTACTGCACGCAGAAACCACGCCCCATGAGCGGAGCCACGGGCCGCCGCCAGAGAAAAGGCAGGCTGCCAGAAACCTCTCCCAAACTCAGGATCCCAAACATGTCAGCCCCCCCCCGCAACTCCCACCTAACTGCACGATGCAAAGAACTTGCCGAAAGCACTGGAGGCAGACAGGATGGTTTTTGGTTTAACAGCACAGGATGAATCTGCATGGATGCCAGCTGGATCACCTGCTACCCCTCCGGAACACACACACACACACACACACACACACACACACACACACACACACACACACACACACACACGGGATCGGGGAAAGGGGCACTAAGCCACGCCATTTAGGTGCTTCAGGTCACACCCACCCACCACAGGAACCCACAATGGCAGCTTACCACCAAAAATAAGAGCCATTTAATTAAAAGAACACAGCAGTTTCAGATCTTTCCAATACTTTCATGAAACTGTTCACTTATTATAATACTTCTATTATGGGCCAGTCTAAATCTCAGTTGGATCTCGGCGTTACATTTCTACTCAACGGAAATTGCTTAAACAAAACATCCAATTATGGACAATGAAAAATGCATTCTGGTCGTAATTCTACTTCAAAAACTGACCATAGAGGTAAATAATTTTTCCAAACGTAACTCGCATTTTAAGCCACACAAAACTCCCAGCACACAGATTTAAGCGTCCTCTCCCCTCGTCCGCTTATCAGCCACCTGTGCCAGCGAACCGCAACTCAGCCGGAGATCTGGGGGTCCAGGGGTGCTGGTACCGAGAGCAGCGAGCGCGATTCCGCCCCCCTCCCCACATCGCCGTTAGCAACATTGATCCAGGATGACAGAAATCCACAGTAGCGCGAGACTGAGCTCCACCTAGACCAGCGCTGCCACAATTAAAAGTGTGGGGTGGGGGAGGGGAGGGGGGGATGAAACGCAAACAGCGACCGTGCTTACAAGGTGAAAAACATCGGCAATGTTGTTGCGCGGCGGCTTGAATAAAAAAGCAAATAACGCCACGGAAAAAATGTTCATGAACGAAGGGCATTACAATTCCTCGTGTCCACAAACCATGCCAGAATAATACTACAAATGACCCGGAAGATGCTACATTCTGTCTTGAAGGATTACACCCAGGAGTGTGTGCAATGTTATCGCCAGAAACATGAGGAGATGTCCCTTATAATGGCCCAATCATTTCAAGTTGGAACTATTTAAAGCAGAAAACGCTTTACCATTCACCCACCTATGTCTCCTTGAAAGCTGTTGTCATGTGATGCCCGGCTGGAAGGAGTTGAGTCACCATCATTGGGCCAGATCTGCCCAGTTTTCCTGACTCCCACGATGGTGGCCTCTGATACCACCACCTGCTGTTTGTGTCGCTTCTGGGACTGCGGGGTGGGGGGGCTGCTGCTATCAAAGGACTGCTGGGAATGCTGGGAAGGCGAGCGGCTCTTCTCTCGGAACACGCGGTAGGTGGTGGGGCTGGGCGACACGTGACTTGACTGGCCGGAGGAGAAGTCCTCTTCGCTGGACGTCAGGTTCTCGTTGGAGCTGCAGTCCGGCGTGTAGCCGCCACCAACGTCATCGAAGCTCCCAGGCGAGTAGGACCTCCGCGGCCAGGTGAGGTGCCCGCTGTCCCCACCACGGTCGCCCATCATCCCGCCCACATAGACGCTGGTATACGGCTGGAAGTCCGACGTCTGCCTGCGTGGCGGTGCCCGCTTCTGGCGGTCCGTCTTGCTGCCATTTGCCCGCACCATGTTATCCCTGAGGAAGTGCGGGTTGAGTTCGACATCCTCGTACTCAGCGTCGTAGCCACAGCTGGTTTCGACGGGGCGCCCCTTGGTACCGGCCCGGTGGAGCTCGCCCAAGCCCGCTAGAGAGTGCAGGGATCTCTTGCGCTCCATCTGCATGGCCTGACTGCCCAGGGTGCTGATCTTGTCCGACACTTCCTTGTCATTGACCCTCACGAGCCCCTTCTCATGATGATACTCCATGTTGACGTAAAACGGTTTCTCAGAGAGACCCCTGGCTTCTGCCGAAGAGTGTGAGTTGGCCCGTTTGAGCCTCTCAAAGTTGGAGCGCAAGGCAGCAACCCCCATGCCCAAACCGGACCTCTCTTGTAGGGAGGCGTCTCCATGCGCCTCCTTCTCAGTAGGTGCCGTGGCTGCTCCGGGTTTTCGCCCAGAAGCTCCTCCCCTCTGTCGAGATGGCGAGGGCCTAACAGAATCGCCTTCTCCATAATACTTACACCTGTTCATCTCTTCAGTCTCACCCTGAGGTGTCTCTGCAGCCAACGAGGGTGCATAATCTTCAGCATGGGAGGACGGCTTCTTAGCAAGAGGAGGTTTAGGTCTGGACTTCTCTTCCCCTAGAACAGGAACCCTGCTTTGGTCCACTTCTACCAGCTCTCGTTGATGGCCATCGTTCCCAGAGGGCTGGTCATCCTCATTATTCTGGGATGTCCTCCTGAACCCCCATCTCTTTCCATCATAGCTCTTCCTCTCTTTGGCCAGCAACGTCTGCAGGTAGATCATGCGGAAGCGCTCCTTGTTCACCTCCATTTCCAGGCACCGGATAGAAACTTTGCATTTTTCCAATTCCTGTTCAATGTCCTCCACCGTATTTAACTCCATCATGGGGGGGTCTGATTCTGGGAACTGAGCTTTCCAAGCCTCAACAAAACCTACAGGTTCTACCATTGTTAACAGAAGAACGGTATTTTCTCGAATGTAAACGATCTAACAGTACTTTACAATTAAATTCCCTGCCAATTAATTTACTCGACTTATTATTTCAGCCACAACTAAAAATGTTAACTTGTCAGTCTCGTAAAATACATCAAAAGACATCTCCTTCTCAAAGGATCCAGGATTAGAGTAGATAGTCATCCGGGTTTTACTTTGTCTTTCCTGGATCATTAAAATTTTCCTCATTAATTTTGTCCCGGTATATTCAAAAACAATAATACCATTTATCATCTACTGTACACATCGGAATGTAGCAAAAATCTTCATTTAAAATCCATAACGCGTGGTTTCTGCTTGCATTATTATCGCTCAGCATCCAAAAACTGGTTGCAAAAACCTCCCAATGTATCACATGGGAACATCTGCTTCCCAGAGAAAAGGTCCAGAGGAATAATAATAATAAAAAAAAAAGTATCGATCAGCAGAACAGCCGAATCTGCCGTTTCTTCGCTTTCTCCCTCGCAGTTTATTCCACTGTTACGGAGTTCTCTTCATTCATCGGCGAACATCAGCGCTCATCCATATTTGCTTCAGCTTGGTTCAGCCTCTTTTGTGGCGTCCAGGAAAATAAAATAGCTGCAAAGGGGAACTGGATAGTAATTCTGAATCCCATGTGTCCGTTCTGCCTGTCCCGTGGCTGTAGCATTACTTCCAGCCCGCTAGCCCATGGATTTGCAGCAAACGTTAGCTGGGATTTTTAACCAAATGCGCTCCGTTTCTCCGGCGCTGTTTTTCAGGGTTTCCCCGTATTTCACTGCTGCAGGAAAGGGAGGGACTACACCAGCTACGATGGACGCTGCTTATTTCTGCTTAAAGACACAGACCGTGCCTGTGAAGGATCTGGGAGGCTGTTCCGTCTCGCAAGGCTGACCATTTAAAACGTGTTTGTATCACGCAGATCAACCAACCTACATTATCAATATATCGGATCAAATTAAACTGAAATATGTTTATCCATAACGAATTTTGAAACAAACAAAACTAATCAATTATAAAGGAAAAGTATTTTCAACCTTGCACCCATATAGCTTAGGAGGTGTCATATGATCATTACAATGATAACGCAATAATACATCTGACAAGTAGTATTGTTTGTGCTCTTTAAAATGTTTTCCCATGTATTACGTTATCCTACACATTTCCTGTGATGTTCTATGTTTTTAGTTTACTTATAGGCCTATTATTGTTTAAAAATCTACATTTATTAGAAAGAAAACACAAACCTTTGAGATACAATCCGCATGACTGGTGAGCATGCTGCACCGACTATGAATGTAGGCCAACTTATTACTTTAATTCGTCGTGAATGTTGGATAATATTCAAAATGTACTGTTATTATTTCACTCGTCATTGATAATTTAATTGGATTTTTTTATTTTAATAAGGAGAGTGGAGTATATCAATTAACATATTTAAGTTTGCAGTTAGAATAATGATTTTTAAAAAACAATTTCCAGTGATCAACCCAACAAGCTGCACGTCAGTATTCAACTTAGCGGCACTCCTAGCGTCACAAAGATTTTTTTAAACAACATGTTTGTCTCCATCTAGCGTTCAATATTTGAAAGAACACGCACACGAATAAACCGATTATATCGGCATGAAATAATAGTGATTTTACAAGAAAACGTGCTCTGTCTTGTCATTTTATTTGCTTGACAGATACTGTATTGGTATGGACATTAAAGTATCGCACTGAATGCGGTTTGTATTGATAATACCTTTGCAGGGATTTATTTTCTAATGTTTATACGTCCATGCCGGTCAATTAGGCCTATGTGATGAATAATATAAAGAGACTGGTATCACTGGTAGCACAATTAATATAGTATTATACTAATAGTTATGTATTACTTACCCACAAACCAAGTCTAAGTTACATACTCATCTCATGTTAATTCATCTTTAATGAATCACGATGCATCTTTCATACCATGAAGTTACTATATTTGTTACTATATGTTAATTTTGTATCTTTGTGAACTACTGAAGGAACTACTGAAGGAGCAACTAATGAATAACCAAGTGAAATACTGATCTCATACTTGTTCATTATTAATGAATCATAACGTATCTTTTATCTCTAGCAACTATTCTTGTTCATGATTTTGTTAATAATTTGTACTTCAGTAGTAACCGAATTATCACTAAATGTTTGTTCTCCGTCAAGTAAAGTGTTACCAAGAGATTAAAATATGAGTATTCTGCTTAGACACTTAATGCAAAGAGTGCGAGAAAAATCTCCCCCGGGATAAAAATCTTTTTTTCTTGGCCTAACTGCTTGACGTTTAGACTGAGAGAGGAAACCAGAGTAACATGCAGAAACCCATGCGATACCTTACACTGCAAGGGTGAGACAGTGCTGCTACCGACTGCCATTAGGGGTATAGCCTGGTGGGCATGGGTGCCGCAAGGGATTTTGGCCCCCAACCCCAGACCAATCCAATGTTCTAACTTTTCCGCTCATTTACGGCACCCCTGCTGGTAAGGAATTTGTATTATTATTATTATTATTATTATTATTATTATTATTATTATTATTATTATTATTATTATTATTCTTGCTATTATATGCAACTTGCATCCATCCATGATTTTTATGAACCTCTGACATTTATATGCGCGTGTTCGCATGTGATGTAGACAGCTCCACGGGTGCACACACGCGCACTCGCACGCGCCCGGAGTCGGTATTTAAAGGGTCTCTCCCCGAAATCACGGGAAGTTCAAGCGGCGCTTCCTGTTAGCAACCGATCGACGCTATCCGCTGTTTCCAGGGCAGGAAGGGACGGCGCTTTACGCTCGTTTTCCTCAATTTATATATCGGCGTAGAGAAACATCCCTCGTCCCGGATTAAAAAGAGTAAAGTAAATGAACTGATTATCTGTACAGTGCCTGGTTTATATAACAGCTGCTTTACACTGAGAAGGTTTGCTCTTAAGTTAGCTAGCTAGCTGAGTCTCGCCACAGAAAACTTACAATAATGAAGCTTGATGAACTTCTTTCATTACCAGATGTATATAACTTTAGTAGTAAAATTGAAATGCAACTAACCGTATTGCTAAGTGATATGTGTTTGAGGTGTGCGTAAAAAAATGGAAGTACGTTTTCCCACGTTTAGTGCACCCATATTCAGGTTGTAAATGTAAATGTACAGTTTGTAATTTGCAGGTTAACTGCACAAAATGGAGATGTATTATAAATAGCAGAACGTAACACAAAGTGTAGATATGAGGTACTGCGTTCAGCGATCGGGTCTACGTCCTCATTTCAGGATAAAATGAGCGAGCAGATCAAGTTCATCGTGGAGCAGCTCAACAAAGAGCCGTTCAAGAAGAACCTGAACCTCATCACTTTCGACTCGATGGAGCCCATGCAGCTCCTGCAGACCCTCAATGACGTGCTGGCGGAGATCGATCCCAAGGTGCGCCCGCATGCCGGCCCGGCACCGCCCGAATCTCCCCCCTGGGGTTTGTGCATCTCACGCTGAGCTCTCACCTTGCAGCAAGCCGTCGATATCCGAGAGGAGATGCCTGAGCAGACGGCCAGACGGATGTTCGCCTTGCTGGCCACGCTGAAGTACAGACCACCCGGGACATCTGCCGAGGCGTGAGTCGGCCGAGGCAAACCCTCTCAGGAGAAAGTGGCCCGTTCATGGAGGATGAGGGTGTACTCTGATGGAGGGGGATTCCCAGAGTTTAATGACTTTTGAGCGCCTTTACACTTAGTCTGCCTGGCTTGTTGAATATGGTAATCTGTCATTTTTTAGGCCTATAAATGTAAGATGCATACTACCCGTGAAAGGTTTCACTCACACTGAGATTTTCTAGATTTGCATGTAACTCACTTAACATTTACTAAAAATACATTAAATATTCTTTGCTAACAAATTTACAGTATGTTCACCATTTGAGTACCTTTATTAGGAGGAAAATGCCATATCTTTGATTCATCAAAGTAACCTCCTCTAGCAGTTATAACAGCAGAGCTAATTCGAATCATTCTTTCTACAAGGGACATTAAATTCTGCTCCGTTTCATCCCATGAAACAGTTAACTATTGCGTTTAAAGTTAAAGGACAGCCTAGAATTTAACTGCCATCACCACACAACCAGCTAATAGGATGTCAGACACGCACTCTTACATACTCTTTCCATGTTATAAAGGAAACTTGTTTTATTTGACTTATACTTTCGTTCATAGTTGTTCACTCAACTTTCCAATGCTTAACAAGAATAAAAAATCTGCAGTTTATGAAATAAATGGGAAAGTGGTAAAAACCTGGGGTGTATAAAGACTTTTGACTGGTGGTGTATGTACAACGTTTCCAGCGGTCTCTGAGGTGTCCTTGAGGAGGGCACTAACTCTGAGTTACCCTAGTAACACAGAATGTTGCTTTAAGTTTCTGCTGGTTTTGCAGGTAACGTTATTTCCGTACCCATCCAGTGCCGTAGGTTCACATGAGACCTCAGCCCAGTGTCTGCATCTCTTTGCATGAATGTGTTTACCCTGTGTGGTCGCTTCAAAGAGGAGCGGATGAGGTGAACTGGTCACAGTAAACTGCAGGTGGCCTGTGAGTTTGAGCTGGGGCATAGCTGGAAATTCTCGCCCCTCTGACAAAATGTCACCTTGGCCCCCTCATTTTCCTTACATCGATTTATTACCTTTCATTTTCAGGGCCCCCTATGAAGTGCTGGGCCCCCTGAACCTACCAGGGTATCCATGCCCCTGGTTGAGCTAAAGTGTGGGGGAGTGAGAGTGTGCCCTGTGATAGGCTGGCATAATGTCCGGGGCAACCTCTGCTTCATTCTCCCATAATAACCCTGTCTTCCTTTCTCCTTGGTTCTCCTGCTATAGGAGTAACTTCCGTCAGGGCCTGGTGACAGGCAGCAAGCCTGTTGTCCACCCTGTGCTACACTGGCTGCTGACGAGGATCACGGAGCTGAAGAAGAGGGCATACTTGGCCCAGTTCCTCGTGAAGCTGGAGGTGCCTGCAGAGTTCATGCAAGATGATGTCGTTGCTGACACCTTCCACCAGGTGGGCTCACTGTGCACTGTTTGGATCTGTCACTCGGGGTGTCAGTGCCAGTTGGAAGGAGACCCATCTGCCTTCAAACCTCTGATCCAATAGCAGGCCTAGGCAGCACAAGGCAGGGAAATTAGATTTCATGTTTGGTTTAATTTTTACTGATCATATAATTTTCTTTTTTCTTTTTAACATGATAATCAGATGTATGTAAGGCTTCTCAGAGGATTTAGGAGTGGTTTATTCATCTTAAGTGATTTAATAATAGTGATAAATGTTTGTTTTGCTTTTTGTACAAGTGAGTATACATATAGCAATTTCTAAGCTATTGCATGTCCCAGCTTTCTCTTTTAGACACACAGATGAGAGAATGAAGTTTAGGGTTAGAATGAACGGTCAGCCAGCATCTGTGCAGCATTTTGGGTTGAGGTCCTTGCTCAAGAGCCCAATAGTTTTATGGACTGTCTGCCAGCCACGTAGTTCAAACCGATGACCTTCCAGTCACAGACACAGAGCCCTAACCCCAGACCAATAATTTTGTGGTTCTTCCCTTTATGAAACAACTTGCCCAGAATGTCTTCAGTTTGTGTTCAGTTAAATAAACATGCAGACCTGAACCTGGTACCAATCTTTGTAAAATAGCAGTTATGCGCACTTTGCATTCTGACAGTTACCGCTACCTATTTTACATACTATCTGATAACCTTCTGGTTTCATGCATTGTGTACAAAACAAACAGTAAAATTTGTTTATTAAAATTACTTTCAAATCAGTAGAGAATGTCCCAGTTATGTTTATCATTATCAGCTATGCGCCATTTCCTTTTCTAAGAAAAGTCGGAGCAGAGGCATGCTGGGTATCTGTTTTCATCATGAATTAATCAACCAATAACAAACAACAACAAACTCCTTATAAGGGCTGTTCGGTCCCTGTACGACTGGTGTCAGAGCTTGGTCCACATTGTCGGCAGTAAGTCGGACTCATTTCTGGTGAGGGTTGGACTCCGCCAGGGCTGCCCTCTGTCACCGATTCTGTTCATAACTTTTATGGACAGAATTTCTAGGCGCAGCCAGGGCGCTGAGGGTGTCCAGTTTGGTGACATTGAGAGGAGGGCACTAACTCTGAGGGCATTGAGAGGAGCCAGATGAGGTGGGTCGAGCATCTGGTCAGGATGCCTCCTGGGTGCCTCCCTGGTGAGGTGTTCCGGGCATGTCCCACTGGGAGGAGGCCCCGGGAAAGACCCAGGACACGCTGGAGAGACTATGTCTCTCGACTGGCCTGGGAATGTCTCGGATTCCCCCGGAGGAGCTGGACGAAGTAGCCGGGGAGGGCGAAGTCTGGGTTTCCCTGCTTAGACTGCTGCCCCCGCGACCCAAACCGGTAGAGGATGGATGGATGGATGGATATCATAACCCATTTACCTGTGAGCCTCTTTGAGTGGGGGATCTCATCACAGGCAGCAGATTGTTTAAAATTCCAGGCCTCCTCAGAATTGTCTTCTCCCATTGATTGTTCATGAAGCACTTTAAAAGGTCTGTCTTTTAATGATGATTATCCATCCTGTTCTTTCCTAGTATGAAGAGCTGGTGGAAGGTTTCAAGAACTACCACAAAGAGTGTGAGCAGCTGAAGAGCTCGGGCTTCTCCACCGCTGAGATCCGGCGGGTGAGTGGGAGGAGGGGGGCACGTTGTGGGCTGGGGTTGGCGGTCCCTCGACCATCCAGTTTGAGTGGTGGTTTTTATGGGACGGCGTGAGAGCCCTCTCTGCTGGCATGATCTTGTGTGTCCATCAGGAGTTAGGGTTGTTTCTAAGTTACTGACGTGATTACGGATTCTTAGAACATTATCCAAACAGTTATCTATTAAACTTTAAGTAGTATAAACATCTGCAGAGCTCATGAATTTCACCATGGTGTCTCATAAAATATCTATGTATGTTTGTGCAACTAGAAATCATTCAGTAAGGATATAACCATTTAATAAATGGACTATTTCACAAGAGAGAGATTATTGGTTTTTGGTTGATTATTATTTAATATATTATATAACATTTTATCATATTTCAATATTCATTTACCATTCCTTCTCTTTTTTTTTTGCTGTTAAAATTAAATTTATGCAATAAATCTCACATTCATGGCACTTTCCACATGTGAGCCTTGTTCCTCAAAAATGTATAAAAATTTATAGATGCTCTCTGTTTGTTGCCCATCAACTTCAGGACATTGGGGTAATGGAGGAGGAGAAAGACCAGCTGATTAAACGAGTGGAGAGGTTGAAGAAAAGGGTGAGTCCTCAATGGCCTGGCAGATATGCCTCTGGGACACCAGGCTTCTCACAGGAGCCGACTGCGGAATGAAAACACAGGCTCGGTGTTAACCGCTTCCTTGAGCTAACAAGGTGCAGCAATGTGTTTGACATGCCGAGGGTTTTAGCTCGTTACAGAGGGCAGAGGAGCAGTGGTGATGATTCAGTGATGATTTAATGTGTTTGCCACAGTCCTGAGATGCCAAAGAAGGAATCGAATTCCAAGCAGATCCTTTAGAAGGAACCGGGGAACCTGATCTCTGCTGTAGCTTTCCGCTGGTGCTCCCTTTGTCCACTAGGTGGAGTCGGTGTCCAGCCACGGGCGTATGCTTGAGCTTGTCAGGCAGCTACGGATTGAGAAGGAGCGAGAGGAGTCCCTCGCCCACCAGAAGCAGGAGCAGAAGAACCAGGTATCCCCACCCCACCTCCTAGGTGGACAGTTTGCCGGACTTTGTAGAGCAGCCTTTTGGTTTTTCCATGTCCAGCTGCAGTGTTTCACAGCACTTTTACAGCTACATCAAAGGGGCCGGATGCCCCTCACAGAAATCATTTCCTTTTGATTCACAACAAAGCTGGATTTTTATTTGATCTATAAATATCAGTCAGCAAGACTGTCTGTTTGCAAGTCAAAGACCTCATGTAATGGAAAAAGATAAAAAATAACTCTTTGATATTTTGATTGGAGGTCAGTATCAGGTGAGTTATTTCAGAGAAGTGGGTTTATATTTCAAAGAAATGAGCCGATGAAGTCCTATGAGAAAGCAGACCGAAGCACTAGCTAAGCTTTTTATTGATGGTAAAGTTCTACTTAAATTTTTAATGCCGTATTAAACCTGATTTGGGTTACTTTCCATTTAAACATTCTTATAAATCCAAATCTGATTAATGAGGTGGCAGTTAATACAGGGAGCAAACTGCAGGAAGTAAACATTAAAAAAACTGGAGTAGGTTGGTTAGTATGTGTACATTTTCTAGGCAGATTAGTGATGATGTCGACTACCCAGGGTGCTTATTCTGTGATTCATCCATGTGTAACCAGCTGTGCTGTGATTGGTCCTTTTGTCATTTTCAATCCTGTTAGAATTCCTGGGGGGGGGGGGGTTGGGCAGCCAGTTAACCTTGGACCTCCAGAGGTTTTGCTTCTCTCTACTTAGGAGCTTTTGGGTCCTCTCCTCCACTGACATTCTTTCTTTCCTTCTTTCTATCTTTCCTTCTTTCTTTCTTTCTGTACTATTCTGTCTTAATGATGTTGTATTGTACCACAACACACCCATGTAAAGCACCTTAAGGCGACTCTTGTGAAAGCTGCTATATAAAAATAAATCAAATTAAATTCAATTAAATTGAAAGTAATCTGCTTGCTGTGCTTGGCCCGTGTGCAGCTATTCCAAGCGGAGCAGAGGCTGCAGAGGTGCCAACTGCAGCTGAAGGAGCTTTGCCAGGCGGCTGCTGATGCCAGGCCGGAGAGTGAGTCGCCGGCGCGTGGCGTCTTCCTCTGCTAATGGCATGACAGATGCAGTTGCCAGTCACCAAGGGGGCTAAAGAGCCTTTAGAGATGCTATGAATACAGTTGGATATGACCATAGAGCGACGTGTAGGTCTGACGGCCTGGGATCTTTGCCCACGTCTGGAAGGTCATGGGTTCACATTCTGTGGATGGTCCTTCATGCATATCACCGTGTAGCCCTTGAGCAAGGCCCTTAACCCTAATTGCACTAGGGACTTTGCTCTCTGACCCCAAAAGCTTTGTACATCACTTTGGACAAAAGTGTGACAGGTGCCCATGCTTCTTAAAACAGACCTGCCAACTTACCACGTCGTCACTGTCCAATGACAAAGGTGCATGTCCGAAAATTCATTATGTCAGGAGTATCAAAATTACTCTTCAAAATAAACCTAGACCAACATAACAAGACACCCTTAGCATCTGTCTTTTTTCATGTTTTAAAAGGGCTGGTCAGCAAGTCAAATATGTTGGTGTCAACAAGACACTAATCTTGCTTTATATTCACAATTAACAATGATATTAGTTAGCTAGCTACCTAGCTTTCAGTGTTAAGTTGTTAAAATCTGCAATATAAAGTAATCCATACAAATAACCATTATGAATTCAATTTTTAACTACTACAAACATATACTAGTTAAATAAATGCCTTCATAAAATCTTTTCAATGGGCAATTAAATGTCAAACACCATCTGCAGACAGAGTAGAATGTGACTTTTTAATATAGATGGAATACACCCAATTGTCCATAAATGATGACGTGTAGTTTTTATTGGACAGTGACAATGTGTACATTGGAGGGGCATTTGGCTGCATTTTCAAAATATGTGTCTTGCTCTGGGAATCGCTTACGTGTGACACCTAGTCGGCGTTTTGCCTTCTGTTTTTCACTTTCACATTAATCAGCAACTAGACCTAGTTCATTAACTTAATTAACTTTGTTGACCCTGGGGAAATTCTGGTGCATACAGCCGCAAGAACACAGTGCACAGACGTGCATATAGTGCCAAACAGACAAGGTACACATAGTGCAAGCAAATAACTGTAGTGCAAACAGATTTAGAAAGTACACGGTAGACAAATGAAATTTGGCCATCTGTTGGCAGACTTAAAGCAGTCACCCAGAATGTCAGCTGTCATGAGCACCTCCTGTAGCTCTTAAATAATTACATGTCTTTGTTCTGTAGGTGTAAATATATGTTTGAATAAGGTCATATATTGTAGCAGCTGTTTAGTAGAACCTTTGGGTTTGGATTACTGAGCGTTTGTCTTGCACCTTGCTTTGTCCCGTTTCTGAGTCGTCAAACCAGCCGAAGCTGCTTTTGCACCACCGACGGAAGAGGCTGCACGAGCCTCTCAGCTGACATTACCGTCTCTCCTTCAGGCCTCATGAAGCGACTGGAGGAGGAGATCAAGTTCAACACCTACATGGTGTCTGACAAGCTGCCTAAGGAGCTGGAGAGCAGGCGGCGGGTGGTGCAGTATCTGCAGAGGGTGGTGCTGGAGCCGGCCATGGGGCAGGACGAGCTGGAGGAGCTGGAGGACAAGGTCAGCCTCCTGGTGCCCCAACGAGGCCCTCGGCTCTGCAGGCAAAGGCAGCCACAGTCAGGGCCGCACTTATGCACAGGCTGACCTGGGGCCCGAGTTTGCTACACTAGCATTTTATGCTGTAGGCAGGGCCCCAACAATGACTTTAGCCCCCACTCTCCTAAATTGGGGCTACTACAATGGCCGGACTAGCTTAAGGAGCAGACACGACAAAAATAAGGATACCACTGACACGGTGTCACTGTCACCAGGGTGATTTACGCATAGGCTGATGTGATGGAAAATGTCACGGAACAGACACAGGATCTGCGGCTTAATGGCTCTGTGATGTTAAAGGTTCTGTTTCAGGAGTACAGTGTATGAAGCTGATTGTGCTGGGCAGCGAACACACAATGGGGATGTTTATGAATTTAAAATTAATGTGCTATTATGGACAAATAGGTATAATTAATTTACTGCATAAAAAATGTCAGTAACTAACTTTAGTTTGAAGCTTATGCTGCGTTCCCTTTCAACTGGGAAGTCGGATTTCCGAGTTCCTAGTTAGAAATTTCAGCTGGAACACCCCCTGAATTCGGAATTCCAACTCAGACAGTCAGAGAATCTACGCAATCCCAGCGTCAGAATTCAAGATGGCTGAGCCTTTCATCAACAGATGTGAAAGCTGTAGTTATATATTGTTTATTAGTACTTCTGTCTTATTTTTGTCTCATTATATCGGTCGTACACACAGCACTGTCCAACTGCTATCTTTGGACATGTTGCTACGGTGTTTGTGTGTGCAAAATACTACAGAATGTGTCAGCATCAACTGGTATTACTAACAATGGAACAACAAACTACAACTGGGGCCTGTTTCAAGAAAGCAGGATTTCTTGCTTAGCCGAATAACTTGTCAGATTTAAGGTAGTCTGGGCTAAATGTAGGTGGATGAAGGTGAAATCCAGTTAGCCCAGACTACCTTAAATCTGACAAGCTATCCGGCTAAGCAAGCAATGTAGCTTTTTGAAGCAGGTCCCTGGTATTACTAAATGGCTGTCCAATGCGTTGTACTGGAACACAGGTAATCAGGCGTGACATCGTTCCCAGTTCCTACTTCCGAGGTAAATGTAACGCAAAAAAAAAAAACCACTTGTACTGTGATGAGATTGCTGATTGGCCCAGTGTCACCCCTTTTGGCCACTTACCATTTGGTTTAATGCCCCCTCCTGGATGTTCATCACCATCCCCACCAGGCATGTGTCACGTAACAGTGTGTTACCCCTCTGTGGATCAGCATGAGTGTGCCTGCCCTGGCTTACAGTGGGTCGTCCTCTGCAAAGAACATGTATGTGTTTGTGCTCATTAGCCGCATCGTATGAATGAAGGGGTGAGATCAGTGTTGATCGTCCAGCCTCATTTGTTAATTTCGTCTTGACTGACATTTACCTTTTCTCATCCAGATTCAGGACGTGAACGGGCAAATCAACCAGCTTATCGAGAGGAGGATGATGCGGAGCGATCCCATGGACGACAAGCTCTCCCTCTTCAGGCAGCAGGTGGGAGAGGCGCTCTGGCTCGCTGCCGCCTTGCTGGGGCATGGTCCTTGAGGTCCAGCACGGGGGTCCTACCATGTGACCGTCCTCTGTGTTTTTGTCTGCTGTCCGCCTTCCCTGATTGGCTGCTGTGCACATAGTTTAAGTTTACATAACCAGGAGGAGTTTCAGGTTTAAAATGTGATATTTTCAGATAGCGCAGTGCCTGCTGGTTCTTTATCACAGAGAGAGGTCTTATTCTTTATCTCTGATGCTAATGTTAGTGGTTTTTGGCATTTAGATGAGGAAAGTTAATGGCCACATGTATGAGCTAGATTGCATCGACTTCCAGAAAAAACTTCTTCTCCTTAACATTTGATAAATACTTGTGGCAGTTGTTTTTGCTCCAGAAGGACATTAATATTGTAAGCTAATAAAAATAAAGTTAGAAGTCGAGAATATTTCAGTTTGCTTTTCCTTATATTCCATTTTATAAATTCCATCAGCAGAAGCATAATACTCAGTCTTCATTTTGGACCAAAACTTTTGTGAAATCAATTCAAAAGGGAATCTGATGAATTTTGTTTCTTGTTCTGCAAAAGCCCCTTGGGGAAAGTTGGTGAACTGATGTCTTGCAAATTCTCTAGTGGTTGAGGCTCATGAAGCATCTTCACACTTGACTGTATTTGGGATGCGTGTCTGTACTGGCTAAGCTACCCAGGAGCCCCTAATGCCGTGACGTACATTTAATTAGCCTTTAGCTTGTGGCTAGGCAGCCATGGTGGAGGATGGTATGGTCAAAGTACCTGCTAATTTGCTGGTGGCTATACTGTAATTTAGCACGACTGCGTGCTAACCTGCCGAGTGGCTATATTACAGGTTGGAGCGCACACTGTACGCACTAGCCTGCAGGCACGTTTCTACACATGGAGGTTTTAACAGGTCACGGTCTGATGGGGAAGTATAGCCATTGATTAATCACCCATCCTAGGTTCATCCAGAAATAAAGAGGCTGTTCTGGTCTCAGCACAGTGCTGCTACCCCAGGTACCGCCGCCCCCCCCCCCCCCCCCATGTCGTAACGTCTCTGACCTGACCAGCCCCTCTTTTTTAAACTTTGCCTAATATGGGTAAAACGTGGCGAGCGTCGGGGAGGCCGCTGCCAGATTTCGACCCGATTTGGGAATGGCCTGTAAGCAGGGGCCGTGGTTCCTGTGAGGAACAGCGAGGTCCCAGCTTCTGTTAATACCCGGGAGCTCCACACGAGGACCACAGAGAAGCATTACGCCATTACAGGTTCCCGACTGTGTATGAGCAGCGCAAGTGACTATGCGCTGCCCCTAGTGTCTGACGCTGTGTAAGGTCAGAGAACAGCCTGCCTAAGGGAAAACATCACCCTTAGTGCTAATGTAGAATGCATTGGTAAACAGATCTAAAATGTACATGTTCCATAACCGCTCTTGGTAATAGCCGCTTATCGAAAACACAGTCATTCATTTGGCATTAAAGCAGCGATGGGGAATTACAGTAGTCTCACCTTGTTTGGGCTTTACAGGCTTCCATCATCAGCCGGAAGAAGGAGGCGAAGGCAGAGGAGCTGCAGGAGGCGCGCGAGGAGCTGGCTACAATGGAGAGGGAGCTGGCCCAGAAGAGCAGTCAGCCGCTGGGCCCGGGCGGCAGTGAGGGGATTCGCGGAGATGAGGTGGCCTTGTCTAGGGGGGCGCTGTGTGTGTTTGTGTGTGTGTGATACGCATCACGTGACATGTACGCAGTGGCTTGGGGGTAAGGCGCCGTGTCTTTGGGGCTTTTCCTGCTGCAGAATGTTACAAAACACACCTGATGCTGCTCATGCCGGCCGCTGTGGCAGGGAAGCGGAGGCTGATGTGTCTGATTCTCGCATCGGTGTGTTTGCCTGTCCCCCCCATCCCATAATGCAGTATGAGAATCCCCTTTGTATGTGCATCAGTAAACACGGGAGGAAGTCAGTATCTGGGTGTCACTCACCCCCAACCCGTAACTTTCAAACATTCCCATGCTGCCCTATTTATAGAGCAGCCGAAATGGCCCTATAAATGGACAGTATCGTACAAGTTAGATGAACTTTCCCCCTCCCGCCTCTGGCTTAGGCAGTTTTGTAAACTGTCTGCTAAATATATCCGCCGAAAAGGAGCAGCGAATTCACGGAAACCAGCTGCGCTTCAACGTGTGACCGCCTCTCGCGAGGAAATGCGGACGAAACCATCGGGAACCCCTGTGTTGGGAAACGGTCGCGTCCATGCGGGGGTCTAAACACCCTGCGGTTGCTGCCAGCGTGGGGACCCATTCATAAAAGGCAGTCCGTTGGGGTGTCGCGAAATGGCCCGGCCTCAACTCGCCGGGAGGTGATGGAAACGGTGGTGGCGTTTTTTTGGTGACGTCAGCCTGAGGAGATTAAAGGGAGCCATTTGTCCTGTGTTCTCAAAAAAAAAAAAAAAACCAGAGGGCCATTCCCAGCACGGGTGGTCGTCACACCGCCAGCCGCTGACGCACAGAGCCGTAGACGGGCTGGAACTGGCCGTCACTGTGGGCCGCTGGTCCTGGTCTCTGTCGGCAGACGGCTTTTACGAGTAGCTGGGGGGGGTCAGACACCATCCCCCTGCTCCTGGGGAAGGTGGGGGAGTGTCCTTGCATCTGAAATAGCCTGTTCGGCACCCCCGCCCAGCCCCATCTGCATCCTCTTATCTGCATCCACCTCCCCCCCCCCGGATAATGGGCACCCCTGTCCCAAAGTCCAAACTTAGAAAGACACCAGCGCTCTGAGGCTAGCTGAAACTCGAGAGAGGGCGCCCCCATGCGACCCCCCCGCGCGGCCCCTGCCACTGCCCATTTAAGGTAGCGTTTTAAAACGCGGAGATCCGCGGCTGCTCCATGCTCCCCGACGACTTAGTGGCCGGTGCTGGCGTTGCCATGGCGAGGCCCGTCCTGCGACGCACTGGGGCTTCCCTCCCCCCTATAAGGGAGCCCCACGATTTAAGCACATCCATTTCAGTCCTGATTCTTATGTGTATTTCTAATAGCAACAGTCGCTCATATAGCAAAAGATGAACAAAACGTGTTGGAAACCTTAGTAGCAAAATGGCTTCTTCACATTTACTTCCCTTACCTGCAGCAGGACAGATGAGGTGTGATCTTGGCTTTACCCCTTACACAGGGCTGTGCCTCAGCCTTCTACTGATACTGTGAGTGTCTGTTTAAAATGTTGCAATAAGACACTTAAGCTGCTTCATTCTTTAGTAGTTAATGTGTCCTGATGGCCGATTAGTCGCTGGAGGCTCTTTGTTTTCCGAAAGCTTTTGACTGTTATAAATAAAGGCCGCTCTTTTCCCTTATGTGGTCAGTGGCCTTTAAAGTGTCCGGACAGTAAGAGGCCTCACTAGCCACTGCGTCCGCAGTACAAATGTGAGCAGAACACTATGCAACGTCGCTCTGCCCCGCTAAGTCCCCCAACCTTGTCTGCCCTTGGTGTCCCAAAATATTCGATCCATAAACACTGAGCGCACTGGCGGCCCCCATGTGCCCCCCGCCGGCATCCGGCACATTCTGTGACAATGTCCAGTGTGATTCTCTCACACCTGGCAGTATTCATGGCCACTGGCGGGTGCACAGAAGGCGGGCGGTGTCCCGTTGCTGTGATCTGCCTTATGGAGATGTCAGCTTTCTGCTTGGAGCAGTGCCCAGCTTAAAGGCAGGGAGAGGAAGGCTGGGGGGGGGACAGCGGTTTATGGATTTCTCTCACGGACTGCAGTGATGTCCCCGGGGCCCCTCCACACCGCCTCTCTGTCACTCGCTCTTGTTTGTCTCCGACCCCTGAGAATTCAAACTGCGGTTCTTCCCTGTAGGATCTGAGGCAATAGTTCCAACGTAACCTAGAAAGCTCATTTCCCAGCAGGAACAAACAAACCTTTCTAATGGCCAAGTTGGTCATAACCCACAAACATCCATGTGTGATGGATTGTGAGTGCCTGCGTGAGTGTGTACATTAAAACACTACACACATTTACACAGTGAAAAAGACTAATAAAACAAACAGTAACAGTGCAAAGAGTGCATTAAATGGAATTCCATAGTGCATGAATAGTAATAGTGTTGTGTAGCACATTGCATAGCTAGCAGACGAATGTTCTGTGAATGTGGCTAAGCAGTTCACATCCATTCATGCCATTCAAGGTCTGCATATGATGATTGAGAAAGCTTTCCTTAATCCCGAGTCATATGTCCTTTCATGTGCTCACACCCCTGGGGGGCAGTAAGTTGTAAATTTATTACAACTGCCAAATGCTGTAAAAATTATGGAATACTCAAACTGGTTGGATTTGTCGTGAATGGGCCCTCCGTGCATGATTCCCACGTCCGACATAAAATAGCTTGACCTGGGCCCCCCCTGACGCAGCACCTCTCCCAACCGGGCCGGGACGCCACCCACCCCGGCCACAGTTTGCCAGCTTCTTGCCTCTTGGGCTCAGTTACGTGCTTGTGTTCTGCCTACCACCCCCCGACTGCCCCGGACAGGCGGTAAAACCCCGTGGGGGTGTCTGCCCTTCCCCACTGTCTGCAGTTCAAGCGCTTGGTGGGGAAGCTGAGGGGTAAAAGCGGCGTGTTCAAGAGGAGGCGGCAGGAGCTGGCGGAGCTGCGTGCCGGGTTCGGCGTGCTGCAGCGCACCGAGGAGATCCTGCGGCAACGACACGGCGCCGTCCTGCAGCAGCTGGTGAGAGCGGCCCTCACCGCGTCGCGGTTAGCCCACCTGCCCACCAAATACCCCCCTCCCTCTGACTGCCACTGCTCACTGTATAGTTATTCGTAGTTTTATTCAATCTACTTAAATAGAGATGTCCCTACTGTCCACACCCAAATACGGCCTTGGGGTATTCAACCGCTTTATACTATATTACAGAATATTCACCATGTACATTCACTCCGCTATATTTACTCAGTTCAATTCAATTTATTTGTACATAGCGGCTTTCACAAAGGTTATTTACATGGGTGTGTTGTGATAATTGCAACATCATTGAGACAGAATATAATATAAAACAGGGGAAAGGAAAGTCAGAGAAATGAAAGAAAGAAGGCCAAATGACAACGGAGGAGAGCAACCAAAAATTCCCAAAAAACCTAGAGGTCCAAAGTCAGTTGGCTGCCCGACCCATTCGCCCCCCCGCAGGCATACCACCATTGTAGGAAAATGAAAGGGTTGCTTGCTTGGTAAAAGCAAGGTGTAAACTGTGGTCAAGGTCAAAGTCCATCAATGAGTCTGTTCTCCACGCCGGCCGGTGCAGGGCGGCAGATTGAAGGCTGCACCCATGGTTATTAATCCACCGCTTAATGATGCCGTATTTATCGTTTACATGCACATTGCACTGTGTGTCCTCATGTCCGGGTCCCCATGTGGTTTGTACTTTAAGTCTTTTGCAAATCCGCCCCCCCCCTCCGGGTGGAACATTATTTCATGCCACTGTATACCTGCACATGGACAGTAGAACACCAAAGCCCACTTGACTTGACCCTCATTCCCGGAATCCCCAATGAAGCACTTTTTGTTGCTTTAGTTTTTGCTGGGATGTTAAGATTTCTGCATGCGCCCTGGGATTCGAACCCATAGCCACGCCTTGTTAGCACAGTACACTACATGTTGAGTTTCAGGCTCCTTTATTTAGTCTGAGGATTGTTAATGACAGAAAGCGCTTTTGGGGATGTCCCCGTAGTATAGTTTTTCCCCCAGTCTCCCACACCCATATGGGGGGACTATTGTTACCCTGTCAAACCTGTACATGCGCGATTGGCCGTGTGCACACCCACGCAAATCGCAGTGCCTAACAATGAAGGGACGCAGTCTTCCTGGAAGCGCGTTCGCACCTCATAACCCGGCCGGCTCCTCCTGGCTCGCTGACGTAGGGGCCAGAGGCTGCGGCTATTTGGGTAACCGGCGTGTGTTCCCCGTATCCCATGTTGGCACGGCCACTTATCCAAGAATTTAAGCCATCAGCACCAGCAGCACTCCCCGGTTAACCCCCCGTGACCCCCCACCCTCCCTGCCTGACTGTAACTCCACCCAAACCACCTCCCGCTGCATTCTGGGGAATCACTATGCCTGTTTCACATGACCTTCCAAACCGAAACTATTTAAGCTTTGAAGTATGTGAATTCAATGTGTTAGTCAGCCTGAAATGATAACTTTTTGGCACCGTTTTGGTCCATGCCGTTTGGTGCCGTATGCGCTTCTGGCTTTTGATAGGTGATTGATTTTCTGAACACTGATACTAATTTCTCAGAGCATAGAGGTGTTAGGGGACAGTAAGGACACGTTTGAATCTCCCTGAGGAGAAGCAGATGGTGTTTGAGAAGCTTTTCTCCTGGGCATCATTGCACCTTATCTGCTAATGGCCTCTAATCCCTTTCCCATTCGCTAACATGTGTGGATAGATCATGTGTGGGCTGAAGGCCTTGCTATCAGTCAGCCTGGGTGAGCTGTGTGCTAGCCGGGCTGCCATCCCTCTGTCTCGAGCCCCTCCCCGTAACGTGCCGTGTCTCTGCGTGGCACCTGCAGCAATCCGTGGAGGCACAGAAGGGGGTCTCGGGGTACAGCGACACGCAGGAAGAGCTGGAGAGGGTGTCCACCATCAAGAGCGAGCTGGACGAGATGAAGGGCAGGACACTGGACGACATGTCTGAGATGGTAAGCAGGAATGGGAAGCCCCATTGGTCCCTGAACCCCCCCCCCCCTGCTCCCCCACCTTACAGAGCAGCCAGAACTGCTATCAGAACATTACCTGCATCCCACCTTTAAAACGCAACTTTTCTTAAACTGGCTAATTTAAAGACAAGGCAAGTTTATTCACAGAGGTCACTCACAGTGCTTTACAGGAATATAAAGGAAAGACAGAAGTTAAACATCAAAATTAAAAATATGAGCGTATAGAAGAGTAAAAGTATAAATGTGAGTTATCCAAGATGCAGATATCATGAAAATTATTTAAAAATATAAAAGAGTACAGGGACACTCGGGGGTGAGGGACACTCGGGGGTGAGGGACACTCTGGTATCTGTCTTTCGTTTGCAGACATGGGGGTGGTCTTTCCTTTCAGTCAGTGTTGAGGTATCTCATCCACCTGTGCAGTCGATCTGTCGTCGTTTCTCAGAGACTCGCTGGCCCTGGTCTAGGGGCGCGGCCCCAAAAGCCAACGCTGACCCTCTGCTCCGGTTTTGTGTTCAGAACTGGGGCTCTCACTTGGGAGGGCTCGGGGTGGGGGGTAATCTCGCCGGTGTGCCTCAGCATTCCCGGCCCGGTGCCATGGAGGAGACATTCTCTGACCTTACGGTCTGGCTCCCACTGAGAAAGGCTCCAGATTCTCGGGATCCCGCTGCTTGGCGATCATGTTCCTGTTGGCGCGGGGCAGGGAAAGCTCCATACCTCTCTGGGCAGAGGTCACCTCACCCCCAGGAGAGGCCCCCTTTACCAAATACCCGCCACACCCAAGCCGTGACTCTTTCTGCAGGTGAGGAAGCTGAACTCTGTGATCATGGAGAAGAAGACGGCTCTGGCACCACTGATCAAGGAGCTGCGTCCTCTCAGACAGCAGTGTCAGGTGACCCTGCAGAACCGCCCACACCTGCCCCCACCCCACACACCCCCAACTCAATCCAGTTCAGTTTATTTTTATATAGCTCCTTTCATAAGTCACTCCAAAGCACTTGACAGGTGTGTTTGGGAATCCATTACTACACAATTTATTAAAAATGGTGCTTGAAACAGGCAAGATGGAAAGAGAATGACAGAAGACAATGAGGGAGGAGAACCAAAATACGGAAAAAAGACCACTGACCCCAGACCCCTCTCAGAACCTTCAGCATCTCTGGGATCTGGAAATTGATGTGTTAATGAGAGAAACTGATTAAGCATCTCAATCAATAATTAATTTGACAAACATTTTTATTGAAGGTGACTGTAGTTTTGCATTTTATCCGTTATCGAGGACGGATATTTCCAGAAGCGGCCATGTTTAAAAGCCTCTCTCTGACGAACCACAACAAAGACCCTCTTGTCCCTGGAGCGCTTAGCTACCAGGAGCTTCTGTGTGGGAGCTTCAAGAGCTTCGCTACATTTAAGCTTGTAACGTATGCAACGCTGTATCTGTGCAGAGCTGTTTGCTGTGAACTGCAGAGAGAATCACTTTGCCGAATTCCCGCTTATGGAGGGAATCATGTAAATACATATAGATAGAGGAAAAGCACAAAGTGAACCGAACTTCGGAGTGGGGGGGCATTCAGCACGAGCCGGGGGTGAAGGCAGCTTGGTTGCCAGCTTGCTCATGATGCCCCCACGTGCCCTGGTGTTGAGGGTTATATTTTATTAAAGGCATGGCAGCCCGTCTAGGGGACAGGTGCAGTGAGTGACAAGGACAGCAAGCTGCTGTGAAATGGCATCCTTTCCATGGCTGATTGTTTTCCCTTTACTGAACGTGTGTGTGTCTGTCTCAACAGGAGCTGACCCAGGAGTACGAGGTGAAAAAGGCCCAGTACGACAGCTGTGCGGCCGGCTTGGAGAGCAGCTGGTCCAAACTGGAGCAGGTACCATGTCAATTGGACTTGGGGCAGTGAAAGTCACAGTACCGTTCGAGTCGGCGCTCATCTTCAAACTGAGAATCCATCTGTAGACTTCATACTGTAACCCTCAACGTCCTCAGACCAGTGTCTCGCTGCCACCAGAGATAGACTGCTGAGCCCCCAGATGGAGGAAGCGATTACACATTAGAATGAGTGGTTCTTCTACAGAGCCCTTTCCTCTGCCTTGTCATGTCCGCACAGGAAGTGAAGGCACTGCGGGAAGAAATGACTCAGGAGGAAAGCCGCTATCACCACATAAACTGCACGAGAGAGGTTAGTGAGTGGGGTCTTCGCCCGTGGACCCCCAGCAGCCCCCGTGTCAAGGATCGAGGGCCAGACCCCTTCTAACTCTCCTCCACACAGATCGTGGAGATGCAGATACAGAGAGCGGCCGATGAGATGAAGTTCTACGTGTCACCTGACCCACAGGAGAGGAAGAAGGCCCTCAGGTGGGTCCTGCTATAGCATTTAGCTGCTTCTGGGTCATGCTAGTAAATTCCTTTAGCATTCTGCTAGCATTCTCCTAGTACAAAGCTAATGGAGTCTTTTAGCACGAGATCATGTAATATTCACAGAGAGAAATTAGCAAGGTCCCACTAGCTTGTAGCATGGACATGCTAGCATATAGCTTCCTGAAAGCTCCTACCATGGTCCCACTAGGTTGTAGCATGGATATGCTAGCGTATAGCGTCAGTGTGGAGCACAGTCTTGTTAGCTCTTGCCTTCAGGTGATGCCAATGTGGAGGCGGTAATGGCTTCTGAACTGGTTGCCTCTCACCCTACACTCCCATACGAACTCGCAGACAGATGCTGCGGGCCTGCAAAGCTCATCTCCACACCTTCTCCTGTAATCTGTGCCTCTCCGAAAGAGCATGACCCTCGGGGTCCTTTGGACCCCCTTAGTCTCACTCCTGTAGGCTTTACGTCATTTTAATTACTTCTGGAGTTTCTCTCACCACCCGAATCAGGTGAATCATATCTGAGGGGACTTAAGGAAAAACATCCCTCCATCCTCCATAAATAATTATCCAGCACTGGATCACAATGGGGGTGGCACAGTGGTTAGCAATATTGCCTCCCAGCTCTGAGACCAGGGTTTGAATCTCTGCCGTGGCTCAGTGTGTGTGGAGTTTACATGTTCGCCCTATGTCATCATGGGGTTTTCTTTGGGTCCTCCAGTTTCCCTCCACAGAAGGTAATTGTGTGAGTGTGTGAGTGTGTACCCTGCAAGTATACTGGTGCCTCACCCTGGGCTGTACCCTGCTCTGGACCCCCCCGCGACCATTAATAGGATGAGCGCTTACAGAAAATGGATGGATGGAGGATCACAGTGAGTGTGGAGACAGCGTAGGACACAAGGCCGAAGACGCCCTGGACAGGATTCCAGTCCATCGCAGGGCACACATTCTCATGCTGTCGGCAATTTAGAGACCATTTCACCTAAGCGCATGTTTTGGACTGTGGGAGGAAACTGGAGTGCTTGAAGTGAACCGCAAACATGGTGGGGAAGGGCAAACATCACGCATACAGCAGAGACAGGATCAGCCTCTCAGCCATGGAGGGGAGAGCCCACAGCGACACCCACTGAGCCTTCACATCCCTCTGTTGCACCAGTGGTTAGCTAAAGGTTTAGCTTTACCAAGCCTAGCTATCTATTAATTACAAATTTTGAACTTTCACAGTTAAATGGCAAGAAATGTTTTTTCTGCACTGACATGGAGCTGCTATCCTGCCTAGTGACCAGTGTCAATGAAGTTACTCACAAAAGCAATCCATTACAGGCGATTCAGGTCCAGAAAGTAAAAATTCAGACCAAGGTTTTGTTTCAACCAATCAGCTGAATATAAAGATTACTGAACTGGTTAGCTGAAACAAAACCTTGGTCTGGATTTGTACTTTCTGGATCTGAACGATCTATAATAGATTACTTTTGTGAGTAACTTTGGGTGGGATTATGGGATACATCCCCGGGAAATGCTTCAGATAGCGTTAATGTGTGCGGCTTGTTGGGGGGGCACATATACCTCCACACCCACGTGAGGCACAGGGCACAGCATGGTACCGTCACGGGCTGCACGTTACAGATCTGCACTCGCTGCCTTTCAGGGAGCAGTACATGAAGAACATTGCAGAGCAAGAGAGCCTGGGCAAGGTGAGTATGGGGTCGTCCATACCTTCCGTCGCCGTCACTAGGGGGCGACGTGCTGCATAGCTGCTCATGAGCCCATGATGGTCAGACTTACAGATTTACTAGATGGATGGACATATGTTTGCTTCACGTTTGTACATGTCGGACAGGGTCTTGCTATATACCAGCATATTGCCTGAACATGTTCCATTCCAAAACAAGGCTTGTTTGAGATGATGGGGCCGGTGAGGTGTCTTCACGACCACTCATTACGGCCATAGGCTTCCAAAGCGGAACTGGCCTCGCTGGCACCGCAGTTCAGTGTGAGCTCAGTGTTTGAGTGCGGAGTAGGGCTGACATCAAAGTGAGGGAACGACCCCATCAGCACCAGGCAGTGACATCAAAGGGACACGCCTGTATTTCATTTGTTTGCAAAGCATCTTTACTAAAGCTTTTTTCCCCTTCAAAGTACAAAAGCTTTTTACATCACTTAGGTAAACAAGCTGCTGTTGCTCAGACATGAGAGTGATTCTGATGAATGAGGTACAGACCAATTGTTTGCTCCCCGGGATCACAAAGGCCCCCACGTGCTCCTGTCCTGGAGATTAAGCATTCCCACCCTCCTCCCCGGGCCACAGAAGCTGCGGGAGAGCCAGAAGGCCGTGCGGGAGAGCCACGCGCCCAACATGAAGCAGGTGAAGATGTGGAGGGACCTGGAGCAACTGATGGAGTGCAAGCGCGAGTGTTTCCTGCGGGCCCAGAGCCAGGCGTCCGTGGGCCAGGTCTTCCAGGAGGGGGGTGAGGACAGGCTGGTGTTGTGAGGCCAGCCCCCCTCCCATAATGATACACTATTATTATATCTATATGTGCGTTTAAGCTTCCGTTTTACCTTTGATTCTTCGGGGTTGTGCTGCCGGATTTGCAGGAGCCTGTTGCTTTTTGTTGCTCTTTCCAAACGTTGATGTTTTCTAATAAAAATACAATTCTTTGACGCTGAATTTTACATCCAACCCTTTTATTTTGGTTTGTCTTTCCTCCATGATGGCCTAACGGAGGACAGTTCAGCCCCTGGAGGTGTCTGGTGGAATAAGCGGGGTTAATTTTCTCCAGCTGTCTAACTTCAAACAAAGGCAGCCGGGCTCTGACACACCTTCAAGAACACGCTCACATTCATATGTCTAAAGATAACGGCGGACAAAGTGTCGCACTTGCCCCGCTGTTGCTCCATATTATTTTGGGGAACAGCAGACATGACCTTGGGTAGATGGGCTTGCCAATTTTGGAGCTCGCTGGACCCGTGGTGAAGGGACAGTGGTAGCCTGATGAAGGGGGGACTCTCCTTCCATGAGACTCGTGAACCTTCCCCCGCTGAGCCAGAAACGCTTTGATAATTCGCAATCTTCCTGCCATCTTTTCAGTCCTCCTCCATGTTACATGAAGCGCCAAACACCATCAGCCTCGCTCCGGCAAAAACGCCTCATACTTTGTAGTGCCTGTAGATGGTGTTTTAGTTACGGGTGAAGAAATTAAAACTGCCTTTAAAAATAATGAGTCCTTTAGGCGCTAGCAGTTATGAGTTACTGAGAGTTTATCGGAGGAACGTACCTTTCCATTCAACACAAGGCTCAAACTACAGAGGACATTCCACTGTCCTGTATATATAGATGTTTAGGATACCTTTTAAGACTGCATGCTGGCTGGGGGTAGCAGAAGGGCCCTACAGTAGAACAGGCCTCTAGAATGATGGTTAGGCATGACAGTTGGTCAATGGACTAAATTCCCGTTCAGTTCAAAACATCAGATGAATGACTTTAGGGATATTATATTCATTTTCAAATTAGTATGATATGTTCATGTATTAATGGTTCGGCACTAAATGTATATTTTAAATTTGTTGGAAGGTTTATGTTTAGGTTGATTTTTTTACGTTTTACCACAAACTGGATGTTTTTATCGTCCTGGTAATACCGTGCAATTTTTAAGACTCCAATGAATCTTTTCTGCAATTCAGTAGAAAGAAAAAATATGTCAGCTCATGCTGCCATTTGTCTGTCATGAAAAAAATACTGTCTTCTGACAATTGCAATTTTTGGTATCTAAAATTGGCCAGCGAATGTGCTTTATTTACAAGTACAGATTACAAACACTTCACAAACAAACGTGTCACCTAATGAAGTTTGTTAACTGTATTAGTAAATGTAGAGAACATGTTTTGCTGATAGACCGCTGTATATCTCAGGCCTGAACTATGGCGGTATTGTGAAACACTTCAGCAAAACTCAAAGGCACTATATTTAGCAGCAGACATTTTAAACATGCATTGATGGATGATGTTGTTTAACTTCGTCACTACAGAGACTCTTGGAGGGGGTGGGGGTGGATTGTTGCTTGCCTGCATGCAACCGGGGGGTAATTTTAGTCTGCATCCACCTTTCTGTCCATCTTCACAACCTACAGTAACTCAATCCACAGTGGACAGGATGGGTTAGATCACCCGCAGCCAGTAGCATCAGGTGCTGTTTGTCCTAAAAGGAAATGTGATTTGAGCTTAGCAGCTCAGGGTTATTATTAATGACGTGTGGTGGGGGAGGGGGGGAGGGGGAGTAAGAGAGCGTTAACAAATGGTAACTGCTGTTCCTGTACAAGCGAGTGTCCCCACCCTTTGTAAACACGCATCGCTCACCCCTAGCCTTGGCCCTCACCTCCACTTACCCCGAGGTGCTCGCCGCTCTCTTCAGCTCACATTCTCCCCTGTATCTCTCCCCTCAAGAGGATCCCTATGGTTACAGGCAAAGTGCTTTTCCCCACTTAGGCAACACCGTAAAACCCTCGGCATTGTGGGATTGCCCAATTCAGGCTCCAGTCCAGCAGTGGGGCCGTGGGAGGGTCTCCGGCCCCGAGGCACCAGGGGACCCCCTGTTTGCCTGCGCACTTCCTCTTGTTGTGCTGTTGATTTGTGGCCTGGATGAGATAAGCGCTGTTGTGCTTTTTGAGAGAGTCCCGAGCGCTGGATGCTATGCGCACCGTGTGCAGTTCATGGTGCCGACAATCACGTCAGCTGTGCTTAATGTCACACGAGCACAGTCACAGGGTTCAGGTCACCTGTGTTTTTCAGCAGGTAAGCTCTGTGGCTTAACGTATGAACAAATGATAAAGATCAAATGTATGCTGTGCTGTCAACCTCAAGTTTTGTTTGTCACATGTAGGATCATATGCTGTACTAATATGCAGTGAAATGCTTTTCCGTTTGGTCTCTGGATGGTGCTTAAAAGATGTATGCACTACAAATCGGAAGGTTGCCGGTTTGAATGCCAGGAGTGATCCTACTCCGTTGGGCCCTTGAGCAAGGCCTTTAACCTGCAGTTGCCTCGTCCTGGGTATGACGTTAATCTACGTGCAGCCCTGCAAGCAGGTCCTCTAACTTTCAGGGAAAATTTGAGGGCTGGTGGCAAGATGGGCACTCCTGCCACCAGAAAAAAACTTTCTAAAACCATTCTATTCAAACTAGCGTGGTGCTGAGGTATCACCCACTGCGCATTCATCATGTGGTGGGTGTGGCAACACGCTGTATCAGCGAGCGCTCCTTACCTCTATCACCGATAGTAGAAAGATGTGCCAGTACAGTATAGTACGATAAAAGTGCACAAAGTGACTTGTTAGCTATGAATGTCCTCATTCAGGGTAGGGGGGGCTATGGGGAAGAGGCTTTTCTTTAATCTCTTTGCTTTAGCCTTCAGGTTAGAGGCTGTACTTAGGATGGGTGGGGTCAGAACTGCACCGTCGAAGAGCTGACTCATAAGAAATTTACAAACAGGAGGGAGGCCGTTCTGCCTATCAGGCTCATTTGGGGAGAACTTAACTAATAGCTCAGAGTTGTTAAAATCTTACCTAGCTCTGATTTAAAGGAACCCAGGGTTTTAGCTTGCCCGACACTAGCAGGAAGATTATTCCATACTCTAACTACACTCTGTGTAAAGAAGTGCTTCCTCAAATTCATTTTAAAATGTTGTCGTCGCCCCCTTTCCGGGTTGTTCCCCACCTCATGCCGGTAGCTTCCGGGATAGGCTTCCGTGTTGAGGGTGAGGATCGGTGATGTAGTTCTGGCCGCTCAGACACCCTGGGGTTTGCTGGTCAGGAAGTCCAGAACCCAGTTGCATAGGGTGGTGTTGAACCCCAAGCCCTTGTGCTTGATGACAGGCTTGAAGAAGCAGAGCTGTAATCAATCAACAGGAACAGCACAAATCTCCCCTTCCCATCATCCAAGTAGCCCAGAGCAGTGTGCATCAAAGCTATGCTAAATTGGTTAAACTGGAAGCACTGAAAATGAAGGTGAAATATATAAGTCCTACTATATCAGTGAGTGAATTCTCAGGGAGCTTCTAAAATTCTGCTATAGATCCCCCTGCATTTATGTCTCTCTACAAAGTGACTCCATATTCAAGACGATGTGACCCTTTCAAGTAGTAATGTCTTCAACACTTAGATAAGGATTAATGTTCATATACTGGCCAACAATAACATGCAACTGCTCTCAACTTCCTGTGAAGAATCAAACATCAGGCTGCACCGAATATGGCTCATTAAGACTTTTATATGACTTACATGCAACCCTAACTTAAGTGGGCTCCTGTCCTGTTTCTCTGTGTGTAGTTTACATGTTTATAAGTGTTTCCTCCAAAGATATACAGTTTAGATGACATGGTATCTCTAAATCACGTGTATGTGTGTGAGCTCACAGCTAGCCTGTGCTGGATAAGCAATTATGGAAAATGGCAGGATTCTGAGACAACAGGAGTCATTTTTGCGGATTACATACATGTACTTTAATGAGAATCAGCCATCAGGCTACCAAACTTCTTCGAGCTGTAACTGCACATTAAGGGACCAGCTTATCTGTCATGTAAGTCCAGTGAAGATCTGGTCTGGAAAGCTTACCAAACAAGGGCTGGTTAAAAGAGGCACTAAGTCACCATGGTCACAAACACAGGAGACCAGGGGGGCTAAATCCTTCCCAAAGAACACAGATAAGATCAAGCTATTAAATCAAACAACAGTACTTTCAGCACTGACTGAAGACCACAAGGCTGTAATGGAAACTGAGGATCAGTTTGGAACAAAACAAACATTTATTGATCCAAACAGAGATGGGGGATTTGTAAAAGCTGGTGCCACCATCTTTAGATCCAGATTTAGTCATTAAATATCCACTTAATAATGGAGCACTGAGTGACTGAATGATGCAGAATATTTACTAAGGCTACCAGTCTGAAAACGCTGTAACTAATTAATGACATTACTGATCATCTCCAAATAATAATTAAAAAAAATTCATTTAGCATTACACATAATTATGGCTAGGAAAAGAATATAAAATACTCTGTGCATATGTGGATTGTTGGCTATTCCATAGCTATGTTTGGGTGTGTCATTTTCATGTGTGCATAATGTAAACACTCAACACTTATGTAAGCACTTGACTTTTCTAAATAACACTTCGATAATGAAAGTGACTCAGGGTACAACAGGGGCCTGAGCACACTGATTCACGGTCAGCACTAACTGATTAAAATCACTTTTTGTAACTATCAGTAGAAAATAGTCATCGAAGTATGCATAACACCGTTAACAAGTGACCATGGGACCTTTATCTGGTCGTGCTCTCCTGAGTTGAATATCGAGTCCTCGAAGTATTTTCTTTTGTTTAAATTGCAGTCGTGTTGTCCTAACATGGGATCAAACATGAATTAACGACCCATAATCGTCATTCCTGTTAAATGTGATTTTAATTAATAAAGTTATTGCTACTTTGTTCTCATGCACTGCTCACATATCCATATAGATAGAGGTTGCCCCGCATTCAAAATTGTATCTTCACCTTCATGTCTTTGATATCCCCCTCAAACAGAAAACGCATCTAAGATGACTTATATTTGATGTTGCTCTTAAAGAGGTAAAAACAGTGACAGTGAATCACTGGTTCATATTCGGCAGTCTGACAGCATGAGATATGAGACGATTCGTCCTTGCGGTACCAAATCCGCACTAATCAGTTTGTCCTTTTACTTTGCGGCTCCGGTGGCGCGCGGTCCAGGTGAGCGATACCTATCGTCCATGCTTCCCAGAGGCGCTATTTTCTCGGTATTCACTAAACGCCGGAAAGTGGAGCATATTTTTTGGTTCGAGTTACGAATTTGAGCTGGAATGTGAATCATAAATGCGAAATTAATAAAAGCACGAATGTCCATATTTGCGCATTGCCATATTTCCTATTTCAGCTATTTATTCTTATTACATGTATTTATACTTTATTAGCCACATTTTCTGCTTCAGTCATTTCCTCTATTTATTAGATATTTATTACATAAATACATACCTCTCCAGGGATAATTATATGTCTATTTTTATGTTTCGTGAGTGCCTTTGTTTTGCTTTGTACGTATAATCCTCTTATATTTTACTGACTGGAGGCAGAATTCCTATGCACTGATGCACAAAGGCAAATGAATCCTGAAGATGACAAACGTCTATTTACGCCTGTAAAATATATAATTTGTAAAAAAATATGAACAGTTTAGTCGTGAAGCGTTTAGAGAGACTTGGATTTATTTACTACCATTTATTATAGCATTTATTATAAAGTCGTATCCGTTCTGCTATGAAGTTGAGTAACACATGTTGAGCGGTGATTCGCGGCGGTTACATGTGAGCGCAACAGCAATGCTCATCACCAGGAGCCGGCGGGGGCGGTCTTGGCGTAGAGGGGGGTGCACAAGCCGGTCGGGAGGGAGTAGCTGATCCATCCACTTTCTGGCGGGGGCGGTCTCGGCGTGGAGGTGGGGGTGGCGGGGGTTTGCACAAACCGGTCGGGAGGGAGCGCAGGGGTGGGAGGGGGAAGAAGCGAAGATTTCCGGACTCGGTCTTATCCAATGAGAAGAGTCCACATGCGGAGCCGGCGAGAGGGGCCGCGGCGGAGCCACTTTCAATAAAACGCGAGGAGCGCCGAGGAGGGCGGTCACTGGCAGGCGGGCAGACGGCGGAGAGCTTCGGAGCTACCCAGCGGTACCTCGAACTGGGCAGTTCGGTGCCGGGTGTTAACCACCAGCGCTCTGGGAATTAACAAGATATCGGGGCACTTTTTCTTTTTTCCAGAGGGAATTTGGCACAGAGCGGCTTTTGACATCCTTAATTCGGGCTGTCTGGGAGAAATTTTGCAAAGAGGGAAGACATCGGCTCCTTTTTGCAGAGATCTGCCGTGTTAACGTTCAGTTGTTTTTTAAATAATTTCTTCCCCATCGTCGTTTGGATTTTTTTTCCCTTTTCTGAAGGTTCCATCTATGCATTATAGGTCGCTAAAGCGCTAGCTTCATCTGAACATTTTTAGGGTTTTTTTTTTTCTTTTAGAGCAGGAGGTGGTTGAATAAACAAAGTAAAGGTGTCTAAGGGAGTAAGGTGACTATCCAGCATGGAGAACGCGCACACAAAGACTGTCGAGGAAGTTTACAGTTATTTCAGCGTCAACGAAAGCACAGGACTGAGTCTGGACCAGGTCAAACGGCAGCGGGACAAATGGGGACCCAACGGTACGTGCCGCGTCCTATCGGCGGCGGGGAGGGGGCTCTGGGCCTGCCGGGTACCGGGCAGAACCCGGGTGCAGTAACCCGGCGTGCTTCAGGGGAGCTCCGTGCCCATGACGTCACCGCTCGGCACCATGTGGATCGCGGCGGCTCAGCTGCATCCCCGCTTGTGTCCCTTATATATCAATGCGTATTTATTCATTAGTTCATTCATAATTGACGGTAATTGTGGCAGCTCGATTTTGTCCCCAGTGAAGAAAAGCGGGAGAAGGCCTTTAAAACAGCTCAGTCCGTGGACAGTCGGCCACCTAGCAACTGGTACTAACCGGTGATCGCTCGCCAAAGTCCGCTAAATGACCGGCGGCTGATCTAAGGGACCCCCACTGTGCGTATGGTAGTGCGGTGAAATCCGACACGCTGCCTGTTGTTTTAAGGCCAAACGTGTCCCACGGCCAGCCGAAGTCCCCGGATTGCTGTCCTTCATGTTATTGCACCCATTTACAGCCCAAAATGCGCAGTCCAAACACCCCACACATTGCATTGCGTGTATCCCCTTCTTAAAATTATGAATAGATGATTTTGATCAAGTGATACTAGGTAAAGGTGAACAAGCTCGAACATGTTTGGGAAAGAGAGATGTCTTGCTTCAGTGAATCTTAGTCATTGTCGCATAGGCAGCAATGACTGTGTGTGTTTGTGGGGGGGGGGCATCATGCTATATCAGCTTTCCGACTAATAACTCTCTACCGGCTTTCTCTTTCTGGTATCTGCTTCGGAATATCGACCTCCAGAGTTGCCAGCAGAAGAAGGTAAAGTGTCCCGTGAAGTAATACAATATCTTCTGAGAGTGAGGATCTGTGACCCTTTCTTGCCTCCTCTGAGTGACCTTTTGTTCTTTCACGCAGGGAAGTCACTGTGGGAGCTGGTCATTGAGCAGTTTGAAGATTTACTTGTGCGGATCCTTCTTCTCGCAGCCTGTATATCGTTCGTAAGTATCCTGCTGTTGATCTAATCTGAAGAGGCATGGTTTTTACTAGAAGCTGGAATTAAAGTGGGTCTTGCATCTCCTGTAACTTCCTGTACAGTATGGCGTGGGCTTGGGTCGTGCGGTACTTCGGGACGCAGGTTAAAATGTGGATTTAATGAGCCCCGTTAAAGAGTCTGACCGGGACGGGCCTGGGATCGTAACTTTTGCTGACGAGCATATTATAACCTTGGGTTTCGTTTTGTGCATGTTGAGTGATGCCTGTGGAGGGAGGAATTTGTGCATTTTGTGAGCATTGCTGGAGATTGGATTGTGTAGCCTGATGTAGAAATGTCGCCTCATGAAACGTGTGATTGAAGGCAGACGACTCCCCATGGACTTAATATCTCTCAAAGTGAAAATCTGAAATTACTAACATTGAATTTTAAGCTGCCAGAATTAAGTGACCCTAGTTAGATGTTTGCATGTAGACCAGCCTGGATGGCCTGTCAGTCTGGGGTTCGTGTTGCTTGGGGGGCTAGAGGGGGGCAGGGGGTGAAACAGCTGTGAAAGCCACAGCAGCGTGGGGTGGGAGAGTGTGGAGAGCTTGCTATGTGATGTGAGACGTGTCGACACCCGATCCCTGCTGGAGCCCAGCAAGGTGCAAATTTAACAGCTCCACCCATGTTCCCGGCCTGCTTGGGAAGGCAGCTTCTACCTCAAATATGAATTTCACTTGCAAAGTGGACACTTGGTCTTTCACCTGCAGTTCATTATCTCTCTTGAGTACAGGTGCATTGGAATGCCTCTTTTTGCATACCTCATCCTGCTCTCCTTTAAGACTAAGCGTGGGATCTGCCAGTCATCCACTGCCCCTGCATCATTTTTGCGCGGGTGCTTGTGGCCTTAAGATGGGATTCAAACCAGCAACGTTCTGATGTCAGACACAGAGGGCTAACTCTTGCTTGCACCAGTTTTCTACCTCACACCCTTACTGCTGGTACCCCCTATATTTCTGTGTCTTGGAGCCTGACACAGCCCCCTGCAGCTCTGGGCTTACCGGACCCCAGCGGGAGGACCACCCTGCGGCCTTCATGGCGAGGTGGTTTCCCTGGTGATGAGACAGCACTTCGGGATGAGCAGGGCTTGGGGAATATAACAACCCTGGATTAATTTAGACTTCCTTGTAAGGCCAGACTAAAGTCGGGTTTAAAGGTAGCACACAGCCGGTCTGATGGCAAAGCTTCCATCTTTCACCAAAGAATAGGGGACACTCACAATGCCAGGTCAGAGTCCAACATGACTTAGAGGGTTAGGATACTGTCACTGTGCTTGGAAGGTTGCTGGTTTAAATCCCAAGGTCGGTAGAGTGATGTCACCATGGGCCCCTGAGCAAGGTCCTTAACCCCAACTGCCCAGGGACTGGCTGCCCCTGCTTGTACTTCACTTTGGATAAAGGCATCTTCTGAATAAATTGAGCGTATGTCAAAATACATTCTGAAGATGTTCTGCGACATTATGCACTCAAAGTGTCCTGTGTCATAATAATCCCCTCTCTTATTCTGCTTTATCCACAACGCCCTGCATAACGTGGTGGTATTACTCAGCGATAATAAGTCTTTGCATACATTCACGCTAGGAGCAGATGAAGGAGCAAATTAAGGTATAATGAATAATCATGCCAGTCTGGCCTGGCGTTCTAGCTTACATTTTACGACTTTTATTCATTTGCCTGTTAATGTGCTGGGTTTTTTGATGCAGTAAAGTGGTCGGCATGTGGCACATGACACAGGCATTTGGGTTTTTGGGTCTTATCTAGTTCAGTCATGTGATAACACGTGTCATGTGGAGGTCATGTGCCCCAGGACAGTACACCAGTCTGGCTGTGTGCTTCCTGTGTGCACCAGTGACCATTTATGGTGGAAATCTCTGACCTCCCCTAATCAGTTTGTTTTCAAAGTTTACTATGACTTCCTAACTGAAGAGGCTTTATTTATATCAATATAAACTGCACCCGGTGTTATTTTTACTATAAATGGAAAATGGCACCAGTGCCGACCTTTCAGGCAAATCGCGGTAATCGGATATGTGAAGTTTGGAGTGAAGCCTCGCTCCTCTGCTTCACATCTGTTAGCTACAGCGCCCTGGATCAGAACGGCTCAGATGTGATCGGCGGACGGCAGTTTAATTCCCGAGGAAACGGAGCCGCAGCCTTTCGTCGATCACTGCGATGGCAGCCTCATGCGCAAATACGGCCTGATCGTTTATTCCGGATCCTTCCACAGATTTGTCTCCATGTCTTCGCGAGCACTTCAGTAAAACCTGAAGTTAAAATAAACGTGGGTGGGGGGGGAGTATGAGCTTATTTATTGGCTGTAACGGCCCCATAGTAGCTGGTGTAGACATGATCTGGTTGTAATGTGTTTCTCAGTTGGAATAAGATGACTAGATGTAGCCTCTGTGCCATTTTCCTCCCCCAACATTCTTTCATGATGGACATCCACACTGGCCACAAACCATCTGATATCCAACAGGCAGTGAGTGGGGGGCTTTTTGACGACTTCTTTAGTGTCACCGAGAGCTGGGCAGGAACGTTTGAGAGCCTCGATGTGACTGGAATGTTCCGCGCAACTCCGCCTGCGGCAGTATGGAGGATACGGCGGAATAATTAGCGAGCTAATTTGGGTACATCATTAGCTGTCAATCTATAGATCACTGCAGTATATGAGCTGCTGCTGCATGGGCTGCCTGCGATGACGGATGGGCCGTCCAACTCATGATGTCCGCTTCGTGCCAAATAAAACCGAAGCAGCCTGGTGTGCCGCGGCCCAGATTAATCGTATTTTCTGGTTGTATACTTTTACTGTCATGGTCATAATGAGAATTCATGACCTTGGGGCAGAATTAGATGCCGCTCTATTCACCAAGTATGCTACGGCGCACATGGAAATTCTCTTGGTATTTTTGGTTTTCGTCCCATCCGGGGTGAGCCCCTTCCTTCACCGTGGATGGAAGATGGAAGAATGAATGCATGTTTTTTGGTTGTGCTCTGAATCCTGGCAGATGTATGACTTGTTTTCAGGGGGGAACCGTGTAGTGAAGATGGTAGGGAGGCGCAGCAGATTTGTTTGGGTGGAAGTGCAGAGGGCTTTCATGGAGGTGGTGTGAACGTGGATATAGAGCAGTTTCAGCATTGGCTTGCAGTACTTGAAGCCAGTTAATTATTTAAGTACATGCTGTTAAGCTGTAACGGCTAAGGGTTATGGGCGAAGCTGGGAAGTGGGGACCATGACCGTCACTGTCTTCTCTAGCTCACTTCACTTTCCACGGGACTGATCTGGCCCAGTTCTGCTTTCTGTATTACCAGCTGTGCTTCTGCCGGCGGATGTTGTCGTGTCACCGTACTGCATGTGTGTCACTTTTGGATTGGATGTTTTGTGGGAACTGTGGCTTGATGAGGCTGTGAGATTTTTCCTGCCTCTTAAACTGCTGATCACCGGGACTTGGGTGAAGAAACCTGCAGGATGCCTGACAGACCAGTAGGAGGTGCTCATACATTAGCTATGTGGTCACAGTTGATAGGTAGATATAACATTGATTTAATAGACATTCTAGATAAAAATGACGGACTATTGAGAAAGCAGAGTCAGACGGCCCCTGAAGTAATTTGGGAGTCGCTGTTTTTCTATTCAGCTGTGATATTTAAATTCCTCCCATTTACAGGGGGTTGGAAGATGTACCTTACCATGAGCTTTTTCTATGTGATTTTAAAGTGGATTTTTTTTTTGTTCAGTAGCTTTTTCAGTTACTGCTCTGAAAGTTTGAAAATGGCAGTTTCTGGCAGAGGAATCAAAGGAACACAGATGTGCTCTCAGTTTGTGGTCCGTGATTCAAATGTCACTGTGTTCAGAGAAGCCATATTATCAGTGCTGTGGGTGTGGTGTTCAGTGACCTGTCCACAGGAATCTGTTATGTTGGACGTTAGCGTTACGATACGGCGGTATTGTTGGCCTGTCATGGCCTGACACAGGTCATCTGTGATGCCGTGTTTGTAACGGTCAGCTGCTAGCTGATTGGCTGAAAGCAGTCGAGAGGTCCTGCCCCAGGAAACGGAGCACGCCAATTATTCCCTGAGACCCTGAACTGCTTAATTTCAAAATTTTGTCTCACTTTTTGACTGTTCTGCGTTATGAAAGTGTTGTTCATCACAGGGTGAAATTAAAAAAATGTGAAGCCTATTTTGGGGCTTTTGTGTGGCAGAGTGCAGAGGCGTAGACTTTGTACTACACGCGCGGCGTCACCGTGGCGCTACGCTGTCAGCGCCTTGCCATTCCCATGGAAACCTGGGCAGGTCCCAAACGTCGGGACTCTGCCGCCTCCTGCCTGACCTTGTCACGGGGCGGTGACAGGGACGGCCACCTCAATGTGACCGAGGCTTTGCCAGCTTGCTGGGACACCTCTCACCTGCCAATTCGACTTCTGCCAGGCTGGCTTGCTGGACCTCTTACTGGGTAAACTGGCGGTCGGGGCGGGGGGGGGGACTGCAGGTTAGACATGATTCTCGTTACTGGTGGCAGTACTAGACAGCTTAACCTGGTTAAGTAGGTTAGACAATTTGTAATGCTGTGTATAGGCTAACAAAGGCCTCAATTCCATTATTTTTCCATTTAATGCTGACGCCCCCCTTCTTTGCAGGTTCTGGCCTGGTTTGAAGAAGGAGAGGAGACCATCACTGCCTTTGTGGAGCCTTTCGTTATCTTATTAATTCTTATCGCCAACGCCATCGTGGGTGTGTGGCAGGTAAGTTATCCGTCTGTCTTTTCTTCTGTCTTTGGCCGGCATAGGGCGCTCTGGCTCATGCCGATCGCTCCTTTCCTCACCACTTCCTGTCCGAGCCCCGGCCCTCCACACTTCTTTTGAATAATAAATCCTCACACCTGGTGTTTTCAGAAGTGGTCTAATGGAAAGTTCTGTGAAGATCTGCAGGCTCTCACCTCCCCGAGAGCTGTGCTTATAGTTCGGCCTGTGCCCAGAAATCAGAATTGCCGCGAGCACACAGTCATCACTCCAGTCTATTTTTGAGAACCTTACCCACATATGAGTAAATGGCCTCTTAACACTGACAGCATCAAAATCCCACCATTACCACTGGAGCTCATAAACCATCGCAAATCAGAATTTTAAACATTGCTGGAAAAAAACCTGTCACTTGGCCAGTGGTATGAATTGGCCCCATTTCTTTGGTGACAATCTGAGTTTGATTTGGATGTCACCAGGGGACACCATGCCTGGAGAGTGTGTGTGTGGGGGGGGGGGGCTCAGTAAATGCCCCCCCCAGTCACCCTTAATTCAGCATAAATCTGACATAACGAACAGAGCTGTTAGGACAGTTAAGCTCAGGGACTGGGTTGGGTGGTGAAAGGTTAACCATCATAATCACCAGGATAATCTCAGACACCGTTGTTCCCGATTGAGCTGTGGACGTCTCCCCCAAGATGCCTTGCTGACCTGGGGTCATCGTAAATGTTTATCTTACAGCCTCGTCTTCCTCGATTTCGGAACGACGATGGAATCTGGCTGCTGTTAGCACATCATAAGATGGGGAATACTGTTTATTTTAAACAGTCCGTTTTAAGAGGGGTTTTGTGTTTGTAGCCAAAAGTCCTTCGCTCTCTTACTTGCTATGAGTTGCTGGGGGGTTGATGCTCTCTTGTTGCTGGGCCCTGCTTTGCCTGGCATTTCAGACTTTATGCCTCCATAGTTTCTTCCTGACATCCCGTTTCCCAGGCTTTGAGAGTCCTCTCCTTTTTTCCTCCCCCTCTCCTGGCGTTCCCGAATGGCTGAGGCGTAACGCGCACCTGGCCACCGTCACAGGAAGCCCACATTCTTTTGTTGGCTTCCCGTCCACGATAATAATGCCTGTCAACTTTTCTGCTTCTTGTCACGTTGCCAGAAGACCACGGATCTGGCAAAGGAGCGCTTGTTTTGTTGTGTTCATTGATCTTTCTACCTGAAGACTTATTAGATTGAAGTTTCAGGAGATTTCACAAACTAAACAGCTCCTCTCCTCCGCTCTGCGTGTGTGTGGATGTTCTCCGCATGCTGTGTGGGTTTCCTCCCACAGTCCAAAGACATGCAGTCATGCTAATTGGTGTCTCTAAATTGTGGGTGTGCCCTGCAATGGGCTGCCACTTCCTGCAAACTGTGCCCTCTACGGCATGGTATAGGCTCCAGACCCTCCCTGCCCAGGATAAGTGGGTAGAGGATGGATAGATGGATGGATAAATGACTCCCGAATCCTGTGCCACAATGAAGTTTCAACCAATGCTTCTTGAGCTTCTCACAAGGAACAGGGGTCTGGAATGTCAGAAGAAGGTTCTGGAACTCACTCTACCTCCCTTGTGAAGCCTGTCACGGAGCCATGACTGCATATGTAATTCCCCCGTTTAGGGTCTCGCTGTCTCTTTTCCCGCGACTTGACCATCGCTGACTGGTTTCCTAAATGCTGCATTGCAGTGTAATGTTAATGTGTTTTTCATGGGGGTCGCTTAGTGAGATTGGACTTTTTCTCGGTTGCTGGTTTTGGAGCTTTCTGTGGTTCTAGCTTGATGGGTGACCGCCTTTGCTGCTGTATTTCATCCCTGCGTTCTTCCCTGTGATCTACTGATGACCAGAGTGGGATTCTCTAACAGGCCCTCATCTCTGAGCCTCGTTTTTTTTTCTCCGTTCCTGTACCTGCCTTTACATTTAAGATATACTGTTAATAAAAAAAAATATAATTTTATTTTAAAATAAATATTGCAGTCAGTGTGTTACCAAAACCTCTTCACAGGCAGCCAGTGGACGCCTGTGTTTTTGTTGGGATTGAAAGGTACACAATCCCTGAAGTGTGGCAGACTCTGATCGCCCACCCCACCTCCAGTCTCCCACACAGTTTAACTGGAAATGATGCCACGGCCAGTCTGTGTTTGTGGAAGGCTGTAGGGGACTCGAGTGAACATTGAACTGTAACGCGGATCTCCGATTCAGCTTAGCTTGCAGTTGAAGCCATCGTGGCTTTGAAATGCTGCTGTACTCACATTAAAATACCCCCCCCCCCCCCCTCCGCAAGGGGGGTGGGGAGAGAAAACCTGTAAGTGTGTATGAAAGGATGAATTGAACAGAAGGTCGAGACACAATTTTAAAGCATTTTCCAGCAGAGTTTGAGTATTATACCACAAGATTCCTATCCACATAAATGCTTCAGAGGCCGGGTACATAAAGTCCTGATACATTAAGTCTAAATTTATCAAAGTTTGGAGCATTTCTTGTTAATATAAGCGATTAGTTGTTTTGTTTCTGGGTGGGTAGGGGGATGGTGTCTGATCTTAGTTTCACCTGATGAAACTGAATCTCTCACGTTCTGTGTGAAATGTCACAGGGGGGAGGTGGTTAATTAAAATTCGAGGTCTTCGGTGTGTCACCCCCTCAGGAGCGGAACGCCGAAAATGCCATCGAGGCTCTTAAAGAGTACGAGCCCGAGATGGGCAAGGTCTACCGGCAGGACAGGAAGAGCGTGCAGAGGATCAAGGCCAAAGATATCGTGCCGGGGGACATTGTGGAGGTGGCAGGTAAGAGCCAGCGTCTGCGTCTGCGACCGTGTCTGCGCCTGCAAGTGCCTGCGTCTGCGACTGTGCCTGCGCCTGCAAGTGCCTGCGGCAATCGCACTTGTTCATGGGCATAAACAAGGCTTTCTGTATTTCATGTGATCAGACATGTCGACTGAAAACCGCAATCAGTGTTTTCCAGCATTTTCTGAAGCTCGCCTCTCTGACATTCACATGCCTTTCTGCACTGCTGCATTTGCTCTTGATACAGTATTGCCTGCGGTTCACGAACACAATCCGTTCCAGGAAAGTGGTCGTGAACCAATTTGTACGCGAACCAGGGCAGTTTTTCTCATAAGAAAGCACTGAAATTCTATTAATTTGTTCACAAGCATACCAAATAATAATTTTTGTTAATTAATTTTCTGGTTTTTATAGTAAAAACTTTAAAGAAAAACACAATATAGCATGGCAATGGGTGGACCAAGGCATCACGGGAGCAGAGAGAGACGTGGAGACTTTCTTGCCGGGGAAATCACGCTCTTTATTAACAGTCCTTAACCCTTGTATTGTTGTTAATGTTAATGGTTGAATTTCCCTATTGTCACACGAGTGTTTGCCCGTGTCTTGTGTGTACCTGGTCCAATCCTCGTGTGTATTTACCGTGTGTAAATCTCCCACCGTGTGAGCATCTTGCAGTTCGGCATCTGACAACCTTGTGTTTCCTGTCTGTGTATTTGGGTTCGGTGCTTGTTGGGTGCTTGTTGGGTGCCTGTTGTGGTCCTTCTATTTACAATTGCACACAGGGCATGCTGGGACATGCGCCCCGCCGGTGCTACACTAGTATAAAAAAAGGAATCTGGTCAAGGAATCTGTTCAACCGAATTTTGTACGCGAACCAATGCATTTCTCACTAAATTTTTGGTCGTGAACCAAATGGACCACAGCGTTTGTGAACTGCAGACACCACTGTACCTCTTTTGAAGGGACTTCAATTTCAGGTTCCTCTACCCTGCATGGCTATGCCCTTCGAGACGCTCCTGTTAACCTTTCTGGGGGGTAGGGGTGGGGCTCTCTCAGCTGCCGGTTTGCGCCCCCCCGCCGCTCCCGACACAATGCCTTTTGTGATTGGCTGCTGGGTTTATATTTAGTGGTGGCTCTCGTGTCTAATTTGTGGAATGCTGTTTATTTATATCCCGCCCAGCGACAGAAGCGAGGGTGACAGGTGTCTTGCCCCCCCATTGGGTACACGGGTACATCGCAGCCGTGTATGACGCAGAGTGCTGTTGCGGGGGGGGGGATGGTGACCTTGAGGAGAGCGTGACTGAGATTCGCTGCGGTGTGCGAGACGCTGTTGACGTTACAGGCAGAAAGGCGGGGGGATTGTTCGATCCACTGCATCGGTTTGTCGCTCTTGGG